CCTATTACCCGACCCTACCCGGGTACCCGCTGTAGGTCTCAAGAGATAGGTACAAAATGTCCGATTGGGAAACGTTTGACCGTACTCCTGTCAAGATACAGGTATAAAATGAGCTGGTCATGCATACACTGAAGTTGACTGAAGTTTTATCTTTATGCAAACATATAAAGTCAGAAGGAATGAGTGGATAGTCGGAAAGAAATGTGAACATTTGTCACTTATAGTGTAACCATAGAGTTCTGGATAATTTTTGCCATTAAAAATATAATAATGTGACTAACCACGGGTCCTGGTAGTCCTGTTGGTACCCACCTGACCCAAGTACCGAGGTTACCCATCTCAGCCCTATAATGGAAATCCTAATTAGGCTTCAGTTACCTTACTGCCTGTTAAGAAACAAAGTGCTGATCATGATACTGGAACAATCCAATTATGTGAGTAAAACACCAACTACTTGATTACAACAACCTTTCTTTGCCCAATGCAACATGTTGCATGGTATCTAAAGTATCATGAGATGCATTGATACGTTATGTAGGTGTACTGTGACACCCCTATATTGTACCCCTACAATCTCATTGAATCAGATCTCTTACTACAATATAATACCTCTCTGCAAGCACTTTCTTTTCGTGTTGAGGCTTCTAAAGACTCAGAATGAGTAAGCAAAGCAATCAAGACATGCAAATCTGATTTGTTTCATGAAAACAAATAGAGTCAATAAGTCCCAAATGCAAACAAAATAAGGCCATGATTATATATTATTGTGGATATTTGATAAATCCTGTCATTTCTGAGCACTGTGGTATCAACATCCAAAAGTATTGAAGCCAAGTTGGTTAGAAAGCTGACATTTGATTGTCTGATGACATCCATGCATCCTTCGCAAAAGGGATTCAAATCGAGGTGGAAAAGAATAGAAGCCGAGTTGATTAGAAAGCTGACATTTGATTGTCTGATGACATCCATGCATCCTTCGGAGTTTGCTTTGAATTACCAGACATGGCCTTCTATGGAGGTGTCCTCAGAGCTACAAACAGGGTGGAGAATGAGATACTGTACTCCTAACTCAGATTGTTCATCTATTTCTAAAAGCATAACACAATGTTGACATGTTCATGATGAATCCTACTGAGTGTGGGTTCTCAGGCTCACACATACATGCACACACAGAGACACAGACACACACACATACATGCACATGAACACCCACACACACATATCACAATATAAGTCAGGGTTAGAAATTGGCACTAGTCCTGTAGTCCTTGCCAATCTGCCCAATAGTTAAGGTATCATAAGGACTAGTAGATATTTGCCATTTTTTTAAGGGTTTTGCTATATGTTATCATTATAAGGACTAGTGGACCAAAAATGTTAGTTTCTACCGCTGTAAAAGTGCATTAATCTTGAACAAGATGTTAAACCCCATTTCACCTCACCTCCGGTCAGCAATCGAGATCGAGTAAGTGAGAAAATATAGCTGTGCACCACATCAATAGTCTTTTGGCTGTTCAGCTGGGCATGCCCCTCTGAAAGTCCGGGTGAAAATGGTATATTGAGTCAGTGAGGCAGATATACACATGTACAATGTATCTCCCCGACCGTTCAACCATGCATGAGCTTTCAATTGAGTTGCAAGCTGGCCATGCTTCACAAGCTGCTTCACGAACAGGTCCTACACGCGAATGAAATTGGGGTGTGTGTTAGTACACTGTTACATTGCATTCATGATGTTTGTGTGTGGGGCAACTCCTGATGAAGGATTTCATTGCTTCCACTCATGACTGCCAACTGCAGATTCAGATACAGAGGAAATTCAAGGCACCTTTTAAATCCATGATCATATTCAATTGAATACAATAAATCTCAGTACCCTACTATGCAACCAGGAGGTGCCTTCTGTTCATGCTGTTGAAGGGGGAGTATGTAGCAGGGCTTGGAGTCATCCCACAGATAAGATTCTTACCTTATTGGGGATAACCTTTATGGTCATGTGGACAAGGCGTCCGACCTCGGATCAGAAAGTCCATGGTGGGATTCACATCACAGGTTTCAGAAAGTTTATGGAAGATACATTGGCATGGACATGCTGCCTACATGGGATCATCATTTGGTAAAATCTGTGATTCAAACCCATAACAAGCAGCTCCTGGCATAGAAAAGGGACACAACTCTGCACAGCTAGACACCCAATGGTGTGTGAAGATTGGTGTGTAACCTAGAGATGAACATGACAAACACATGATCATAGGGGGTCTACTTTTGGGACACCATACTAATGAAATAGTGTTCAAAAATAAGTTGGGGTCCCAAACATTAGTGTTGTGACAAGATCCCTGTGACTTTTATGTTATTACAAACACATATTGATATTGTCATAACATTTCAGGGCGTGAGGGTACAGCTGGGATCATAGGTGAGGACCCCCCCCCCCACCCCCCAGAAATGCTTGTTTCTACAAACCTGTACACCGACCACTCTTCATTAAATGCTCAAGGCTTTAAAGGGGCACTGATCTAACGCAATTCCTCGGGACTGGTTGTTGCCTTTGTTATTGTTTTTTCCCAGTGAGTACCCGGATGCATAGCAGAAATCTAGACTAGTTCGCGACCTCTGCTGCGCAATTCGTACGTGCATCAGTCACTTTTATGGGTAGTAATAAGGGCGTATGGTCACATTGATCAACAAAATGCAATACAGTTTTCGAGATAATAAGGAAATGTAGGTATATTTGTGGGAAGCATCGGTAATGGTTACGTAGTTTTGATAAGTCACTTGCTTGGTAATTTTGCGATTTTCGTTTACACTATTTTGACTAGCAACACAAAGTAAATATTTCACCTGAGCATTGCTTTTTTATAGTGTGTATAATTTTTAACTGTCAAAATGTGTAACATTTTCAAATTTATTAAAAGTGACTAAAAAACATTTCCATTTGTATTATTATGTTAACGAATTCCAAACATTTTGATGTTTAATGTCACCACCAAGAGACTGAAAATGTTACGTTGAAAAGTACATTTCTATGTTGTTGGGCTTCTAATCCTACATAATAGTCTGTTGTGATGTTTGTAGGCCCTTTTGATCATCTTAATCAATCTGGACAGATTTTTTAGTCAAAATGACTGAAATATTTACACATTTTATAAATTGCCTGAGAGAAACACATTTTACAAATTGACGGTAATATATACACGCTTACAAAGGAAAAGACCTGTGAAAACAACGTCTATCGTGCATTGAAGAATTTCCCAACCAAGACATTGAGAAACAAGAACGAATCGGTTCAAATGAAGGAAAACAAAATGCAAATACCATAATTACAACCTACCAAATTTATGTGTATAAATTTTAGGAGCTTCCTTGTTCGAGGAATGTATCCGTGAATATCCACACAAAGGAACAATATCCCACTCGTCTGCAGCTGTACAAAGAAACTTATTCCAAGTCACGTGTCTCTGTAACAATCAAATATTTTTAAAGATATATATCGTTTCGGGATATTATAACCTGTGTTCATTTCTCAACTGATCACTTGGATTGTTTCAGGTGTTCACATAGGTGTCAAGTCTCAAGGGTCGGCTGAGAAAGCCCACGTGACAACTATTTTCATAACGTCCACGGTTCCTAAAAAATCCATTGAGTGATAGATAACAATGATCAATCAATCAACGTATTATCAGTTAACCCTTTGAACAAAGTATGTTGTTTTTACATCGGCACTTCACGCCATGATATGAGTATATTCCCTTTGTTTTAGTAAACCTAGACATGTAAACACTCACTTTTGACATATCCACTGTGCAAGATAACAGTAATTAATCAATCAACGTATTTTCCTAATCCTTTGATGACTTGGAACGATCCGTTGATTTACAAAAAAAAGTAAATCAATTGATCATTCACCTCTTGCTGGTCTGCCACGTGCATATTACATAACACACATTTCACCTCACTTCAAACCTGGATTTAGATTGAATAATTACCCCAGACACAATAAATGCCAAATGGGAACCTTTGTCAGGTAATCTAAGTGGTGCTACCACTAATTGTACCTGTAATAAATTCATTAACTGAGCATCAAGTGAATGACGACAAATACACAAGTGTAGGGTTATACCAGAAATGTGGATGACAACAAGGGAGTAGTAGTCGTATTATCGCCGCAATCCGAAATCCGAAATCCGAAATCCGAAAATGCTTTCACTGCATAGATACTTTTTTTAAGTATTAAACTATAACCATCTGGGGTATTTCTAAATCCGATGAGCTTTGCCTTTCTTTTTGTCTGTTTGTTTATGCTTAAGAAATTAATTTACATGCGCCCTTTGTCGAAATCTTTATAGATCACAGTTAACCAATCAGTGTTTATGCAAAAATTCGTAAAACAAATATTGCCTCCGGCCTCCAAGTGTATTTAGCTGTCCTTGCAGACGGTAGCCCAGTCTCTGGTCACGCTCAGTTGCGTTGCGTATCATTCGGGTACTCACGGGGGAAAAAACAATAACAAAGGCAACAACCAGTCCGGGGAATTGCGTTAGATCAGTGCCCCTTTAATGTTACAATGCTGACTTAAAAGCTCAATAATTAACACATGACTATGTTGGTACTTGAGGTACTGGTAAAATATGAATTGTTGAATTTTGTGTAATGTCATTTACTCTAGAACTAATATTTCACAATCAGAGACGTTTTTTAATTAGGGCCTATATACAGATTAGTTGTTAGCATGGTTAGTAATGTTACCATCAGTTTATCATGTAGCGTTCATTTAACCTGTTTTATAACATGAAAGAGGAGAAAGTCATTGTGGGGTGCAGTTTGTCCTGAGTGCAGCAGGACAAACTCTGATCATTACTCGCTGTCACGGGTCTAAAACTTTAGTCAACCACTTTACCACCACTGTTGTGTGGGCTGTATAGATCGTTTTGGCCTGGCCTCGACCGTAAAGCTGTACAACACATGATACACAAATCTGAATGTAAGAAAATGTTTACCTGTAAGGCGATTCATATTTGTCACTGTAGCTACGAAATCGCATGCTGGACAAACTATCTAGAAGGACATGATTTGGTTCCACTCTATAACAGATATAATCAAAATTGCCAACAGAACAGTTTCGCTCTGCGATACGATTCGATCTGACACTTCCCGTGCCGTGGACAGCCCATTCAAGGTGTCGCTCGTAGCCCCTCGTTTGTCTCCGAAAAGACATTTGTTGTTGCAGTTTTCACAAATAAACAATTGTGTTACTCTCACGAGTAAACTTTCGATTACTATAATACGAACCACAAAGCATATTTGTGACATATTTGTTAATCAATTGGAAAACAAAATATAATATTTATCGTCTTTCCGAGGGAGGACTTTCAGATACAATAACAGCCAAGAACAGTAACTCTAATACCTTATAAAGGGACATAACTGCCGGAGTTTCGAATACTTATAATTTAATCGATCCAAATTTTATACCTTTTTAGAACAACCATATGCTTCAGTAAATCGTCTGAAAGGGGGCAACATGTGTTGTAACACGTAGATGATAGATAAACATGTATGGACGCAAGTATGAGGTGACAAATGTTTATCCATAATTATTTATAGATAGGCATATGATAAAATTAATGATAAAATTTAATTCAAAATAAATTTGGAACAGCTGATATTTGAAACTGGGCGCACGGACTCCAAGGATGGTGTCCAAGATCTGTTTACGAGTGTGTTCAATCTTTTCATACCAAGAACGGGCCCGAGAAGACACGGATTAGGTTTGGTCTTCAGCAACCCATGCTTGTGGTAAGAGGCGACTAAGGGGATCGAGTGGTCAGGCTCGCTGATTTGGTTGATGCATGTCATCGATCTCAATTGCGTGGATCGATGGTTATGATGTCAGTCACTGGATTGTCAGGTCCAGACACGATTATTCACAGGCCGCCGTAGTATAGCTGGAGTGCGTGTGGGGTGAAACAACGAACAAATATACCAAAAAACGACTTTATACCGCTGTTAATAAGAGATCATTGTCGTTCCAAGAAACAGACATAGATCTTAGTTGGTCACTGTGTAGCAGTGAATTCCACTTTTGAGTTCGTTCAAAGGTACTTTCTAACAATCATAACATTTGGCATTTTCGAATTAAAATTGAACCATTTGGAGTAATATTTATTTATTTACACGACCCACAACTCCCGAAAGATATCGCTTCAAAATAGGTCTTTGAAAGGCATTTAGAAGTGATTCACATAAGGAAGAGAATATATGGATGTCAACTTCTTAATTATGAGGAACACAACGTTTCAGAGTATATGCTTATTCCTTCATCGGGTGAAAGAGCCATTCACCTGAACTCAGTTTGTTTCATCATGAAGGTTATGTTTGTGTGACACCCTTGAAGATCCCGGGGTAGAATAGGTCTTCAGCAACCCATGCTTACCGTAAAAGGCGACTATGCTTGTCGTGAGAGGCGACTAACGGGATCGGGTGGTCAGGCTCGATGAGTTGGTTGATGCATGTCATCAATCCCAATTGCGTGGACCGATGCTCATGACATCAATCACTTAATTTTCTGGTCCAGGATCGATCATTTACAGACCGCCGTCATATAGCTGGAATATTACTGAGTGCTGCGTAAAACAACAAACCAACCAACCAACTTTGGTTGTGCGTGCGTGCATATGTGTGATTTTACGCCGCTTTAAGCAATATATCAGGCTAGGCTGGGGGCACCAGAAATGGGCTTACCACATTGTACCCATGCGAGGAATCGAACCCAGGCCTTCGGCGAGAAAAGGGACAACCTGTAACATACACACACGCAAGCACGCACGAACGCACGCACGCACGCACGCACGCACACACGCGCACACACACCTTGATCCGTCAATGAACCGTCAACACATTAAAGAAAGGAATGGCAACAGCTAGGAATACGTTTCCTAATTTCATGAACAACACTAAGCGTCTTTCAAATACCAACTTACCCAGTACACTTGACTACAAGTGTAAGCACGATAATGAGATACCGTTTATAGCTAAATTAGGTAGTTAATTGGCATGCCGTATGCGTGGTTGGTTAGCACAACTATTTGCTAAACAGTCTCGATAGAAACCCGTGGCGCCTTGACATACTTCTATCCTAAATAGGTCAACACACATGGAAACGGAAATTGGGCTGCCAAATGATCACTTTAATGCAGTGTCTTTATAAATTAATCAATTTCAGAAAAACAACTGTAACTTTATATACATAATTGTGCATTTTTAGTCATTGATCCAAGAAAATGCTATACGTATTTCCGAAAAAGGAACCCGATTTATAACCATTTGTTACCTCATTTGGTATATTGAAGATACTGGTTTCGGAATGTCGACAGTTTCACACAGTTCTATTTCACAAACATTTTACCTAATAAACCCAATACTCCTTTCACAATAGTAAGTGAAGTAAGAACAATTTCATAATATATACTCTTCGAAAAAAGAAACGGAAAGCCAGATTTGTGTGAGGTTGGAAAATACATGTATACGAGGAACCGTACAAGGTATTGAGCCAAAATGTTGTGGAGAGAACACTTGGTGATTGTAGTCATCTCAGTAATCGGTACATAGGAAAAGTCCAAGGTGAAGGTCAGCTACCATCAATAACGCGCATGTCCCCCGTTGGAATCGATAGCGGCCTGACATATCCTGCCCATGGAAGAGACGAGTATGCGAATCACATCCTGGGGAATGGTAGCCCACGCGGCCTGCAACGCAAAAGCCAACTGCTGCAACGTCTTGGGTTGTGATTGACGTCGGCGAAGCCGTCTATCCAGTTCATCCCACAGGTCCTCTATCAGGTTCAAATCCGGGGATCTGGAGGGCCAGGGCAGAACATCAACGCTGTTGTTGTTGTGTAGATCGACTCTTGTGATCCGTGATGTATGCGGTCGAGCGTTGTCCTGCTGGTGTACACCGTTGCCGTTGACTGTAATTGGGAGGACGTGTGGAAGGAGAATTTCGTTGATCTATCGTTGAGCCGTAAGATTGCCCTGGATATGGACCAAACCTGTCCTGTCGTGATGAGAGATAGCCGCCCACATCATGACGCTACCCCCACCAAACCTGTCCACTTCCTGTTCGCAGTTTTCGGCGTAACGTTCTCCCCAACGTCTGCAGACCCGCGCTCTTCCATCCCCTCGACGGAGGAGAAATCTTGATTCGTCGCTTAGCCAGACATCTCTCCATCGCAGTTGAGGCCATACCCTGTGTTGACGACACCAATGCAGTCGTTGTTAACGAACAGGACGTCTTGCTCGTAGACCTGCTTCTCTTAAACGGTTTAGTACGGTCTGGTCGGAGATTCTGCGGTATTTGGGATGCGGTTGAGGTGGCTGTAGTCGTCCTTTCACAGTAGGTGGCGCAGTCGGGTGTAGCGATCTTCGGCGGGGGTGGTTACTCTTCGTCGTCGAGACCTTGGCCGATCACGTGTTGACCTATGCCGTTAAAACCGATTCCATAGCCTTCTGATGGTGCTGGGCGCTACATTGAACACCCTGGCTACACCTGATCGGGATTCCTCTGCCTGCAAGCGGCATGTGACGTTGTTTCTTTGCACTTCTGTTAATCCTGGCACGTTGTTGAACTGTCACTGTTCGATTGACGCAGATGCCTGGTAATCAAAAACCCTTCACTTTAACACCGTTGATAGTGCTGCTGCACATGCAGGACGTGCATCTCCGTGGTCCTTTTGTTAATGCACTGGCTGCGTTTTCCCGAATCGTGCGTGTTTCCAGACTAATGGTTTGCATGTCCTTGTTGTCATCATTTTGATCCGGTAAGTTTGTCACTGACACTATAATACATTAAACCTCTTCATTTTGCCCCTCTTGGTCCGCTAATTTTGCTTTTTTGGCCAAAAATATCCGTGTTGCGTTTCTTTTTTTGAAGAGTATATTATCACGACATGCTCTTGTCCAGAAGTATGTTAGTCAAAAGAAAAGTAGGTTTTAGTGTGTATTTTTTTATTTTTCCCAAGACCTTTGATTCTTTAAAACACAATGTTTATTGGCAGCCTATGAGAAGCTGGTGTAACTGGTAGATTTTTTTAACATTATTTTATCAATGAATTCTAAGCTGAGTGCTTGTATTTGGTTTTCGAAGGGCCTTTCAAATTATTTTCAGCTATTTAACATTTTCATTAATCGACTTGTCATGGAGGACTGTGGTTGTAGAGGCCTATTTGTCTCTCCAAGTTGCGATTATTTTTTTTGCTTTATAGTTGTAGATGATATATCGCCAATGGCGGATTCAAGTTTACAATTACGAAAGAAAAAGAACATTTTGTGATACCACGGGTATGAAAGTAAAATTGAATAATACCAAAATCATGTTTTTTTCGTAATGCTGACCCTTTGCGTAATTAGGATTTCCTAAAATAGTCCTCACATAGGGTCAGTGTTTGTTTTTTTATAGATATCGAGGACGTGTTAGTTGGGTAACCCATATAAAAATATTCTTTTAAATGTTGAATTGTACCTTTGATCAAATATCCCAATTTACTTAAAGTCAGCTTTGCTACAAAATTTAGATGTAGTAACATATTGCAGTAGCTGTAGACACTGGTAGATACACAAACATTGAATATTCACAGAAACTTTGCCTTTTTTGTAAATATAATAATCAGTAATATATTGAAGATGAACTTTACGATATATTTATTTGTAGAAGGTAAAAAGTATTCAGAGAAATATATCTAAGCAACCATCTCCCACCTGTAGATGATAATTATCAATCTACCTACTATATTGTTTTGTTTGTTTATTGTTTAACGCAGCACTAAGCAATATTCCAGGTATATGACGGCAGTCTGTAAATAATCGAGTCTGGATCAGACAATCCGTTGATTGACATCATGAGCATCGATCCACACGGGCAAACCGGAAATTTAACCCATAATCATAGGTTTCTAGCATGTCCAAGGAATGCCAGGACATACCATTAGGGGTCACGTCAGAACGACCATTCATCCGACCAATCAGAGCGTCGCTTACCAGATCATGAAAGTGACATCCGGAATGTGAATTCTAATAATGCAACCTCGAAAACTTTGACACGGGTTATTCCGAACGATAGTTACGGGTTTAACGATGTAGACATACAATGTAGACCATCTATTAGCCATT